GAGGGGGGGTGATCTGCTGCCGTACAGCATGGCTGCGTGGCCAAAGGAGACGAACGTAACGGCGGCAGTGCTAACAAATTCGGACGAGAAAACATCGGGATGTGCAAAAGTCAGGCAGAGACCGGAACGGTTCAAGACAAACAACAACTGCGCAGTACATTGGGAAAAAGAGTACCGCAGCAGGAACCGACTGCATGCACAGCCTCGTTGGTATAAGAGCGCAGGAACCTGACCAAAATAACGATCAAACACGAGTGCAATAGCATAGATCCCAACTAGGACCACCTGCACCCAACAACGCGCCTGCATGACTTGGTTCGAAGAGTTCGCGCCCGTCCCCCATCGTCGAAGGAGCACCCCCAGAAGCTCCGACAGCGCCAGAACGCTATCCGCATCGTAAGCGTGAGGCCTGTCAACGGGGTCAATAATGCCTCCCCGCCCTCCTCCACCACCGCCGCCGCTCACGGTGCCCCCCGATTCTGCTGCCCCCCCGCCTCCTCCACCTCCTCCCGCGGGGCTGCCGCTCTTCAACTGCTGGCGCTCCTGCCCCATTGCCGCTGCCCGAGAGGCAGCGCTGGCGTTGATGAGACCGCTGCTGGAGCCGTCAGGAGGGAGGGTGGGAGCAGCCGCGGCGGCGGCGGCGGCGTTGCTCATGGCGGAAGAAGACGGTTGTTGCTGCTGATCGGGGGCGCTGAACCACTTCTTGCTAGTCTTGAGGAGTTTCTCGGCCCACTTGGAGACGAACCCTCGGTTGGCCTGGGGGCCGAGAGAGCGACCATACGGGAGGGGGACCCAGGGGTGTATGTGAAGCGGGAGCGAAATTATAATATATCGCACTTTGAAGAAGCGCAAGAAGGTACCGACTCGACGTTGAAACATAAGGAATGAGAACACAACAAACACCTCTTGCTCCTCCGCAGAAGACAACAACAACAACAGCGACCCCCTGTGAACCCACCCACCTCTGCCCTATGACTTTGGACACTAGCCACGGCCAGGTTCGCGGCGTTAGACTCGAGGACCTCCTTGTTCTCGAGGCGCTCGGCCTCGGTGCACCTCTGGAGCGATTTCTCGTTTACCCCGTCCAGGGCCAGCATGCTCGCCGACCTTACCCAGCGGTCGGACACCAGCAGTCGCACCTGTGGTCATATGCCCGCGCGAGGGGTTGATGGTCGCGGCGGCAAGGGTGGTGGTAGACAACAGCGTCAGCAAGACGAGGGGGTCGGGGGGACCACGTAGCGAACGATGTCAGCGCATGTACGTCTTCCGTGTGTTTCTTCAAGTGTCCGTTCTGCTTGCTTGGCGCGGTCCGCAGCCTATCCACTTCGCGCTGGCAGCAACGTCTAGCTTTTGTCCCTACCGTCTCGTCGTGCACGTCAACTTGAAAATCACCAAGCAGACATGAGCGGCAAAACAAGGAAATACAGTTGTTGAGGTGACGTTTGTCGTTCGCTTCTTGTGGTGCACCACGACATACCTGGTCCTGCACCGCCTGTGGCACGGCGAGCGCTGTCATCGAAGTCCCACCGCTGCCGCCCCCAGACGCTCCGTCCTGACTCTGCCAGGTGATGGCCTGTCTGTCGGTGAGCAGACTCTCGGGTATCGCCTGCGATATGCGCGGGGGACGAAAGGGGATAGAGGAACGTGGGACGCCTCAGGAAGACTAGGGGGCGAAACGCCGTTCGGATAAACGAGGCAATGATTTCACGCCCACCGCAGTACCAAACACACACACCAGCAACACAGCCCGTTGTAAAGATGTCATTTAGTACCATCCGCTACGGTGCGGAGATACGATGCAATTGCCCCCCCCCCCCCC